GTCTGTGAATCCCCAAAGGACTCAGCCTACTCCCAAGCAATGCATGACCCATCAGTGGCACAGTAAGGACTCATAAGAAGACCCAGAACCCTTAACAGTTCCAGGCCTGGCTCTTCTTCAAGGATCCAGGGCACCAACTGTCCAGATCCCGGAGGGAGAATTGAAAGCAATTCAAATTAGCAGAAAAATAAATGAAGGACTCTCCCCCAATCATCCTAAATATTTTAAGAGGAGGAACAAACTTCAGAGATGATCTTGTAATTCATACAGACACAGCACATTAGTGAGTACGAGAACCTACCAAGCAGTTGGAAACCCACAAAGCAACAATTTACAGTCAAGATTGATGGGCAAATTCAGTAAGAGAAAAGGGGCATCCCAGCACCAGAAAGTTAGGGCTTCTAAAAGGCCTGCGCTGGAGATGCACAAAATGCCTATAAATGTGGGAGGCCAAGAAGTACTTTGAAGCCACACAAGTTTAAAACTCTGAAGTAGCCAGGTGGTGTTTAGTGGCCTGGGATGAGATGGAAGCTAGCAAACCACCTCTTAGAGTTAGTGTGCAGAGGAGAAAGATAGGGGTCTCAAAGGTCCTTGAGAATTTCTCAATGCTTTTGCTCACTATTTTATCTCAGAAGCCTGGATACTGCTCAACAAACATCATGACATTCATTAAGTATTTGTTGAGTCAATGAAAAAATGAGAAACAGAAAAAAGGGGCAGACAGAAACAGACAAAGACAAACTGTCCTGGCTCCCACAGGCTATGCGAGCTAGTTAGTCCCTTGGAGGTGGGACCTTTTGGTTGTCTGACTCAGGAGCAATAGAAACTGATGGCTGGTACAATGAAAGGAGCATAAACTTCTGCATCAAACACCTGGGTCTAAGCCCAAGCTCTGGGTGTTCTTCGTATAAATACTTGACCTCATTGAGCGTCAGTGTGTCAGCTTTACAAAGGTACCTGCTTCATCTTCAAAAGTGGTAGGATGATACTTATCCTTAAAGCTGTCAGACGATCACAGGAGCTAATGGATTTGTGCACAGCAGACAGCATTATGATCAGCATATATCATGGCCTTAGCAAGTGGCAATGCGTGCTGGGATTGATCACACTCTCTACAGCCAAAGCCAATGTCTTCCCAACCTACTGCTAACTGTAAGCCATAGTCCTTGCTGAAATCAAGCTGCAGGAATAACTCCAGCTGAAGTTCTCTAAGTTTTCTAACAAAGCACATGTCTTTACATAAATGATAAAATCATGCATACATTATCTTTTAGTTAGCAAAGTAATTTCACTTTCAGACATAATTCTGAAAGGATGCATTACTGCTATCCATGCTTCATAAATTTAAAAAACTAGGAATCCACAACTAGCATGAGGCAGACTGGGACTGGAACTACAGATTTTTAAATTTTGTTATAACGACTATGATTTTCTCAATCAAACATTCAAATAGGTGAATTTATTATGGAATAAAATACTTGAACTCAGACTACTCCATAAATCACTTGAGTTGCTGCTTGTATTATGCTAATGCTTTTAGCTGAAATCAAAAACAAATCCTGGAAGAAGTAGTTTTAAAAAAAAAAAAAGCCCCTTCTCTAGATTTCCTGCATCTATTTTTAATAGTCTCAAGCAGAAGAGGAGCATGTCTTGGAATCAGGTTGACAAGTGTCTTAGGAAGATCCCTAGCATTTATTAGTCACGTGACCTTGTTTGTTTAACCCCGCTAATTTCAATCACCATATCAGTGTGATGGGAAAGCAACATTTTCTCAAAAGACAATGTAAAGTTCTTGGCCCTGAGAAGGTGATCAGCAAAGAACAGCGACGCTAATAACCATGCTCCTGTAGGGACCATTTGGTCCGAGCTTAGCTGCCTGCCTCTCTTCTGCCTTCTCCTGGCTTCTGCAGACCCTCTCTTCCACATAAACTCCCCAGAAACACAACCAGCTTCCACACAACCTCGCCAGGGAAAGAAGATAACAAAAGAGCCGGCAGAGACATTATGCAAATACCAAATATTATTAAAACATTAATGAACTCTGGCAATTTCCCTGAATTTTGATAAATGGTGTTTATTATGCAGCGCCAGCCTCTCGCACAATCTGGGCTCTCAAATATTAACTAGGCAATAACAGCAATCATTCTCCTAAAAGAGCAAGGTGTAAAGAAATAAGGAGTCTGGATGATTCTAGCTAACACCTGCCTCCAAAGGAATCAGAATCTCTCTCTGTACAAGCAAGAGAAAGAACAGCAGGTAAGATCAGAGTCCATCCTGACCACCAGTGGGCTCTGATCAGCCCCGCAGCCTGTACAGGGCCCTGCTTTGACAGGACATAGAGTGTCTTGGTCCTGACAGGTCATTGATTGTGACAACTGTCTACCACCCTTGGGCTCTTCTTTATAAAACTCCCTCCAAACAAGACAAAATAAAGAAGTCTGGAGAGTTGGAGGGACTTTACTCCAGGTGAACAATCTCAGCGAGTGGCTTGTCTTGAAGGCTTCCATGCCCAACTGCCTGAAGCTGGAGCCGGCATTAGCCACTGCTCCACTGTGGCCTGTACCAAAGAGGCCTATACCAAATTCCTTGGCCATTGCACAATGCCTTTAAACTGCTGATAATCCTCAGGTGTAGCTCAGACAAGAAGCATAACAAAGTCAAGGGAACTACCCCTCTCCCCAACAACCCCCAGAAATAAGGGCCTGGGGCCACCCAAGTGACACCTTAACAAGCTGGGGGGTCATTAAGAAGCCTCATTCGCATATTCATAAAAGACCCAAGGCTGTGGCAAGTGAAACAAAGTGTACAAAAGGAGATTTTGTGTCTGAAGCCAAGCGAAAATCTGCTTTAGAAAAAGTAAATCCACACGGGGACCCTTGCTGTCACCAAACCTTCACTTGTCTAGAGCAGCCAGCACCTCATTAAAGGAAAGCAAGGGGACTCGGAAATGAATGCAGCACCACACACAGGCAAGCTCATTTCGCCATCTGCCTTGCAGCCTCCAGAGGGGCAAAGGGCTTCAATGACTCACACCGCACATTTTCTCCTGCAGGTGGAAACACCAAATTCCCAGGGGCAAGAAAGGCTTCTCTAGCAAGGTCAACTAAGTAAAAAGGAATAGAAGCAAAGCTAGTTTTACCTGTCAACACAATGCCACCCGTGACATTAAACACATGCATGCACATTAAACACCCTGGAATAATGCACTCTTTATATTTGGATAAAGGCTTTGTGAATTTGGTGTATCAGATGTAGGGGTGGCAGAGAAGTCTCTAACGAGCCTCAAACATCAACCTCCCCTGCCCTGTGTCCCCCATCTTCGGATCCATCACTATCCTGACTGGTTGTGACCCCGCTACCTTTTTCTAGCAGAAGGACTTAGGGCAAGAGGCATGAAAACTGATGAGGGGGCTGTAAGAACGAAATGGTAGGTTTCTGTTATTTATCCCAAAGAGAAAGGCCAAGATTAAGCAACTTAAATAACAGCCCTGAGCTTTCCCCGTGTGTCCCCACCCTCCAGACAATCACAGGGTTGGTTTTCAGATGTAGAAGCTTTGTGAGGGTTTTAAGCCTCCCTCTGAAACCTGGCTCCACCCGGTTGTGGATTTTAAGCATTGCTAATAATTCATCTAAATAGATGAACTGTCAGATATCTCAATGAAGATCTTTTCCACCTCATACACACACAATCTAGCATACACTTGGGGAGTGTGTAGCAAAAGGTAAAAGGGAACGTGTAGCCCCAAGTTTTAACATGTTCCATCCAACTTCCACAAACCGCTAGTGGACCACGTTCAGCGTGTCTCACGCACCCCTTAGGCTGTGGCGAGGATAAAACCTAGAGCGAATAAGGCGGCTCAAGGAGAGAACCAGCAACAGCCAGCCGGCTGACATCCAAGTAGATCGCAGGGAGGAGGCAAAAGCTGTCCTCCTCCGTGATGGAAAGACCTCTGCAGTCATATTTCCCACTACCTGTAAAAGTGGCTGAGGATATTGGAGCACACACGGAGAAGCGCGGCGGGCAGCGCTACACGAGCTCGTCCTGCCGCAGGCGAACGGCGAGGCCACGTACTGCAGGGCAGCCGCGGCTCCGGGGAGGCTGCCTGCAGCGCACACCCATTCTACAACTCAGCGGCAATAATCCCAGCAACAGGACTGGGGGGGGGGGCGCTTTCCCAGGCCGGCTCGATTTTTTTCCTTTACACCGTACTGAATAATCTATCGGGATCCGTAGGTGAGGGGCCCGGTGGTGACAGTAGGCACCGCTCCGGGTCAGCACTGGGACAATACCCAAGAGGCAGGGGCCGGCGCTCCTCTGCGGCCAGAGCTCCGCGGCCGGTCATTAGAAATTCCGAGCTCAGCAACCAGGCTGGAGAAGCACCGGAAATGCTTCTGCGAGCTTCAAAAGGGAACTTGATTTGCAAATCAAAGTTGCAGGAACTCCCGGGCTCCTAGAGTACTTACTTAGGCGGGTTACTCGGGAACACCCAACAAGTTTGGCCACCGGAGGGTTCGGCGTGACAGCGCCGCACCGGGACTGGAGAAGCAACTTGTCGCTCGGGCCTCCTGCCAGAGCGCCCCGAGCTGGGGAGGGGACCCCAGGGCCGGTGCCGGGAAGAAGCAGGTCCCAGAACCCCTCCAAGGAAAGGTGCCCCCGGTCGCACGTGCCCCCCGCTGCTGCAGGGGCTCCCCCCACGGTGACCGTCTCCCATCGACCCCTCACCGGCCCGCCAGCACCCCGCGCAGGGAAATTCGCAGAACAGCCAGCGAACGGGGGAGAAAAGGGGCGCCCGGCGCAAAGTGGAGTTGGGAGGGGAGGGGTGCAGCTCGGACTGCGGCTGGGAGCGAAGGGAAGGGGCGGGACGCGTGGGTCACACAGCGGGCACCCGGCTCGGGCAGGGCAACCCCGAAGGAGAGCGCCGGAGACAGGGGACCGGGCTCTCCACACAGCTTCGCATCACACGCGCGCGCACACGCACACCTCCCCCTTCCCTCCTCACCCAGCATGGAAAAGATGAAATCCTTGGCGGTGTGGATCTCCAGCGCTCTCTGGTCGTCGTATTCCCGCTGGTCGTGCTTGGTGAATTCTTGGATGAGTTTATTCAATTCCTCCACCCGGGCTCCCGACCTGAAATCCAGCTCCGGGAAGGCAGGCTTGTTGTTGCAGCCCAGGGAGGCTGCCTTGCTGACGGTGGGAGCCGCCATCTTCGAGCAGAGCGCGCCGAGCAGCGGCTCCGCGGCGCCTGCGATACCCTCCCCGCCCCCTCTGTCCCCTCCCCGCCCCGGGCCCCCTCCCCACCCGGTCCCGCCCGGTACGGCTGGGCCCCGCTAGGCCCGGCCCGCCGCGTGCAGCCGTCCAGGCGGGCGGCCCGGCTCCGTGCGCCCCGCGCGTCCGGGCTCCGCGCACCCGGACTGCAGCTAGGGGAGCGCGGGGCCCCGGCACCCGGACACCCCGGCCTCACGCCCGCCGCGGCGCTGCGGACCCGGCCCCGCCTGAGCCCTCGCTGGCAGCGGCGATCGCGATCGGAGCGCCCACCCGAGCCTTCCCCCCCACGGGCAAGGAAAGTGAAGTGGAAACAATGTGAAATTCACCAGCTCTGAAATCAACAAGCTGCCGGCTCGGGAGCTACGGAGCCAACAGCGGCGTCCCCATTTAAAGGGACAGCGCACCCGGTGGAGAGAAGAAATAAATACTCGAAGAGGTCTGCGCGCCCGGATCGCTCGCCAGCGTGTGTTCCGCAGACGCGCGAGGTGCGGACGTGTTCTCTCCACACCTCCGCCGCCCCCACTGGGCTCGCCAAGCGCATTCAAGGATAAAAGAGTCTTCTCGGCGGCTTCTAAGGGCGTGTCCCCGCGAGGACGTCTGTCTGCGGGCGCGTTTGCATCTCTACCCCGGGAACCCCGACACCTTTAGATGGCGAAAGGAACCTACCTGCTTTAAGGAATATGAAACCGATCTTCTCTTTTGGTAAAAATGGCCAAGAATGATAGAATTAAGCTTATCAAAATAGGTGCCCACCCTGCCCCGCATACACTCCCATTCACCTCCCCTAACGTACCCCTCCTTTGCCCTTTCCCTGGACAGTGTCCTATCTGACTTAACAAACAACTTGATGTATAAAGAGTTAATGAGATCCGACCTTCTCTACCAGAAAGGGAAACCGAAGTGAGAGTGGGGGAGGGGAAACGATGCATTGCCTCAGGTTCCAGAAGAGAATGTTGGATGGAGAGATAAAATTTTCTTTGTGATAGAATTTGAGACTATTTGCCAGAAGCTGGGTGGACCAGGATAAGCCCAAGGCCTGGTTCCTCCAAGGGTGTTAGGTTTGTCATAGACAGGGAAGTTGGGTCTAAGTCACAGTCCCTTACCAGGATGGGATTTCAAAGATGGTGTTACTGTTTATGTGATACAAACATTTTAGGAGGTGTGTTTACTTAGAAACACTTATCCTCCTTAATGCCCCAAAAGGCAACATTTCTCTATCCTATACAGTTACTGATTTGGATCAGGCCCTTTTTATTTTCTTATCTGGGTTCTCATAGCCAAAAGTACAAATTGTTTTGTTACACCTGTGAGGAAGCCCAGACTCTGCCATACCTACTGTAAAATAGTAGTAATGCCTCTCATTGGCTGTTTTGAGAATTATATGAAATAAGTCATATCAAGCACTTGGTGTGCAGAATGATATAACAAACACTCCGTACAAGTTAACTACATCAACTTCTACAATTGTTATCAATTTAATTCTTCCCCTTCTCCACAATCTATTCTCCACATTGTTGTCACCGATTTTTACACAACACAGATCTGGCCACTGACTTCCCCTGGAATCTGTTTCAACTCCACTCCTAACTACACTGAAGCCAGTTTTCCACCTGGGCCCTTGCTCAAGCTGGTGGCCAACCTTCCTTCCTTGGAAGCCCCCTGGAACCTTTACAGAAGCGTTCATAGGAGACTGATGAATTTTGACCTTGCCTTATCATTGTTAATGCAAGATCCAGATTGGGAGGTTCTTAAGAAGGAGGGGTACACCTTGCTCACATTATTTCCCACAGCACTTGGCCCTGCATAAAGGCCCTCTGATTATTGAGTCAAGTCATGGGTGAAGAACTGCAGCATAATCAGTTGATTTCTTTTGCTTTTGATTTCTTTCTTTTTAAAACAAACTTTCTCACCCAGTCAACCCTAAAGAAGGAAGATATGTGCCCAGGTAAATCTGTGTGGACTGAGTGGGAAGTTACTTAGAATCTCTGGCCCTTTGTAATATATGCCAGTTCCCCCAAATGGATGTAATTGTTATGTATCACAAACACATACTACTACTGCTACTAGAAACTTGTGACTCTCCCTGTCTTGCTGTGTGGCCTTGATTTCTCATCCTGAGAGAAAGTGACCACTACCTGGGCAGTGGTATAAGCCACTCGAGTAGTTGGAACTCCCGTACAATTGATCTACACCTGTCTGTCAATGCTTCTCAGTGGCAGGCTTTGGTGAGACAGCTAGCCGAGGTACAGTTATCCTATGGATCAGAATGGTTCCCCAGTTTATCTCCAGCCTTAGTGGTACTAACTATAGTACAGTCTGAAATAGGCAAAAAGTCAAGACATTTTTTTCATTGTCAGTGTCCAAAACCATGGGAGAGACATTGTTCCTCCCTTTTCTGCCTTTTCTTGTGATATTTAGTCATAGAGAGACAACAGGTATTTAGCAGAAATTACTCTAAATGTGTCTGAGCTCTGGACATTGGCAGTTTTGAACAATGGAGTCAATGAATAGTGGCCCTGTTATTCTCCATTGTTCTATTTTCTGTCACCCAGATCAGAATCCTATGACTCATAGACCTTCAATGAGCCTGTTTGCCTCAAGAAAGTAGCTGCATGGTAAATAACTTCCAATTCCTTTTATAGATCTGTAATAAGATGGTATAACTATCCCTTGTTGAATTGGAAAAACAGAGAAAGAAGATCAGGAGCCGTATTTCCTGATGGATCGATCCCTTTCTTGGGAGTTTTTAATTCTGGGGCCCTCATAACTAGGAGCCCCTCAAAAACCACTACAGTGTCTCCTCACCTTTGTAAACACTGCACTGTAGAAAGTTCCTGGCCCATTTTATTTTAATTAATATGTCTGAGTGAATGAAAGACTTAATATCATGAGTCAAAGTTCAGGAAGTCAGCATTTAGGTGAGTTTTGCTACAGTTACATAGCTCAACCGCCCATTTTATTTTAATTAATATGTCTGAGTGAATGAAAGAATATCATGAGTCAAAGTCCAGGAAGTCAGCATTTAGGTGAGTTTGCTACAGTTACATAGCTCAACCTAACCGATCAATGATTTTCTGACATTGCTTGAGAGTTGTTACAAACAGGGATTTCTGCATGAGTCTAATTCAACACTTTCATAACTTTTTTCCCCTCTGTGTATGTTACATGACATAAGCAGAAGGAAAGAGATGAAAGGAAGAATGAAGAGAAAGACAATTACTGAAAGATGTTCAAGAATGTCTGAACTTTGTTTAAAAAATAATGCATACATCCAGAGTTTTGAAGAATGCCTGAACAGTCCACCGTCTACGGAAGTACTAAGGTAGGCTTTCTTCTCTCGCTGCCACACAGCACCAGACAGACTGCAGGAACTCTGTGAATTTCCCACTGGGAAGTACAGCCTGCCCCTCTCCCCCCTGCTCTGAAAGTACATTGGCCTGTGAAAGAAGTTCTCCTCTTGCCTTTCTGGAGCTGTTTGTTTTTAAATATAGTTCTGAGGTTCCAAGGCAAACACTCAGCCATGAATAACTGGGCTGTGCAGAGCACATATTAAAAATAGCAAGCTCCACCTCCAAGTGATGGATTAACAAAATAAAATTTTATACAAAGTTTCTCTGTTTCGATGGAGATTTAAATAGCAGCCCAGGCTACAAGATCTGGGATTCTTGGGCAGCTGGATTTTCAAAAAAAGTCTGATGAATGAAAGTGACCTGGGTTTCTTGTGATTTGAAAATGAAAGCAAAAGAAAGAGAGCCAAACATCACAGACACGTGGCATGCTCATGGGAGAAGGAACTGGGAAGATAAATCCCATCTACCATTTTTATTTCACAGATAGGAGAACTGGGTCACCGAAAAGGAGACTTGGCTACATAGTGTTGAGAGTAGTATTTCTACTTTTCATATTAACTTCTAATGTAGCAACTATTAATTGTGTTTCACACTGCCAGAATGCACATGGAAAATGCCATGAAATGACAGAAAGAAAAATGTTATATATACCTGTTTTAAAAAGGAGAGTGTCCCTTGGGGAAAAAACAATACTCATTACACTTGAAATTTAAATCTCAGTAAACCAGGAATCGCTGGCATTTGGAATCACTTTTCTTAGCAAGAGATGAATAATTAAGACCAGAGCTAAATCTCTTCCATTTACAAACAAAATCTTTCAGGTGCATTTGTCTCTGGTTGGGCAGTTTTGCCTCTGATGACATTAGGCTGCTGATAATGTAATTGAAGTCCACCACCCAGCGGGTCACGGTATGGGTGACCCTCTTCACCAAGCTGAATTTGCTTCGAACAAGGTGAACCTCAAGTGAGAGCCGCCCCTCTGACGTGTTCACGTCCTGGGACCCTTGCCCCAACCTCCACCCAAGTCCTGTGAGGACTAGCCTCCAAGAAAACTAGAGCAGTATAAACCTCTCCAGCCGAATGTGTTGTATTCTCTGCCCTTGTGCCACTGGGAGAGGGAAATCTATGCATATGGAAAGTAGAAAATGAAGTCTAGGAATGGAGATAATGGTATCTGATAACTTATTGATGTTCTTTACAATGATAGAGCCCTTTCCAGTTCAACAAAACCCTGTTGAGCAAAAATTTATTAATCAGCTCCTGACTACCTCCTACTAAAGCAAATTATTCCAGACTATTATTATTATTATTCCTGTTTTGGAGAGAGAAAAGTAAGGCTCTGAGACAGCGGTTTTGGGGAGGTCATCAGGCAGCAGTTATCATGCTTCAGCTCTCTAGTTCTTGAAAATGCTTTTCCTGGGCCTCCTCCACACCTACACACCCGAGTCTAGGCCAAGCAGTCTCCTTCTAGGCTCTGATTGCCTTTGGACTTTCTCTCACTGTTCTTGCACATTTCATAGCAGCTGCTTCATCTTTTATCTGTGTCCCTCACAAAAATGTACCCATTGGGTGGTCGGTGACTCTGTCTATCTTGATCAAAGATGTATCCCCAGTACCTATCACTGGATCTGGCACATAGTAGGTGTTCATCAGTGTTTAACAAATGAAGTGAAAGTATGTGAATGCACAACATGTCAGACTTGGACCCCTGATGAAGGTCTTTGATTTCTGATCCAGAATATTTCCATTAAACCTCTCTGACTCTGTTCTTAGGAACCACTGAACATCTATAAAAGCACCAATAATCGTTTACAGTTTCGCATTTGGAACCCCTTTACCAAACATTCCCCTTTTACCACCTGATCCCAGCGCTTGATTCAAGTTCCACTGTTGCAAACAAAGCCTTTTGTTTCCTTTTCTCCCTACCTTATGATCTACGCACAGCCCATTTAGTCAATAAACTTTATGACAGAATGACTTCAAAAAGATTGAGCCCAGAGTTTCAATTCCTCTGTATCTTGGGGAAACCCATTTGACTTCACTTCTACACATTAGGTAAGACAAGACAAGGTGATTGATTACATGAAATTATAAATAACTCTAAAAATCTTCTTTGCATATGAAAGCCGTATCCCTTTGGCAATGCTCTAGAAACTGTGGGGCCTTCATGACCAAAGGATCTCTTGACACTGCACTCCTTTAGCCCTCCAAATTGTGAAAATGCCCAGTTCTCAATCCTCCATGCCAATCCATACCCTGCCCTGTCTTGGGTACTGGGTCCTGTATTGAAGGTAGACAGCGGTACCTTATCATAGGAAGGAAGGAGGTGTTTGGCTTGTTTTGCTATGATCAATTAATTAGTTAAGGCAAAATTAATTTAGATTTGCGTGGCTACAGGAAATGGAAGCAGGAGAGGTGGTGGCAGCTGCAGAAATAAAGGCTTTGGAAATAAAGCTCAGGATGTGGAAGCATTTTCTAACAATAAGAGCTGCTCTGCACAGAAATGCTGCCTTATGAATTAGTAAACACCCCACCATAGGAGGTGCTTAGTGTTGTGCTGCCCATCTTTCTGGGTTATACTGGAGGGGGCTGCTGGGATGGTAAGGTGCTTAGACTTTGAGCCTTGGTGTGCCTTTCAGCTCTGAGAAGCTCCAGCCCTATGATCCATATTCAAACAATAGGATGACTGAGAAGTGGCTTTCTACAAGGACACACCCTGCAACAGAGCTATGTTCTGCACAAAACAAAGAGTTTTATACCCATTTTCACCTGAGGCCCAAGATCAAGGACTGTGTTCTTGTTCCTTTTTTTTTTCCTTCTAGGTGTAAAACATATATTTCCTCCTTCCTGGCTTTCTTAATGTCTGATTGTAGCAAGTTCTTTCATTCCACCTTATATGAAGAAGTTCTGTGGTACGGAAACCTGCCATGGGCCATAGGTCTTATTCCCCAAATTTGCATTCCAAGGAGATCTCAGGAAAGAGCAAAGAACGGATCTTCCTGTACCACATTGATTTACATACTCATGAAGGAAGCCGGTTCTCACAGCGATACCTGTTTTGCTTTCCACGCCTCATCAGAAAAGGATCATCTGACCCTGCACTGTAACAAGTTTATTGGAAAACTTGGCTACTCCTCTCCCCAACCCTGCCCAGTGCAGTATATGAATAGAAGGAGTTGTTTCTCCCGATCTGAGACCTGATATGTTGAGTTGTGGTCCAAATCTCATTTTAAATTCCAAGTCGCAAAACCTGGAGAGAGGGTGTTTGAGGAACATGCTGATTTTCCTTCAGCTCCAACAACTTTATCACACTCAGCCATAAATATACTTGGTGGAACATGCCTTCTTATTCTGCTTTCTCTATTAGTACTTTCTAAGCAGAAACAAAACAGAACAAGGCTCACTCTCAAATCACAAACCCTTTACATTCCCCAGGGCTGCTTCTGTAATCTAGTGGGGGGAAAGCAGAAGAATTTTAAGAGGAAAGAAAAAAAAAAGAAAGGAGGAAAGATAAAAAGAAAATACTTTTCCCTCACTCTTCTTGCCTTCTGATCATTCTGTAACTGTGTGTATTTTACCAGAATTAACCCTAAATATTTGGGGGGTGGGGCAGGTAGGAGTATAGAGGGTATATAAATATTATGAATGAGAAAATTCAAACAAAACCACTGGTCTGGAAGTCTGGAGACTTCCACTCTAGTCCAGTTTTGGCTGTTAGTGAGTTGTGATCACAGGAAAAATTTCTCCTCAGAATTTCCTTTTCCTCGTGTGTAAACAAACAGAATTAGGTGTCATCTGGGCTTGACATTCTGAGATTATAGCTCTGACTTGAAAGGACAAATAAAGCCACTTCGTGCCCCCACACATTCTTAACACATTTCATTTGTTTATTTTTCCCTAGTTTCTCCTTGCACATCTTGACAACCATTGTTAGATATTATAAGATGGTTTTAAAGGATCTGTGGTCTGTGAGAATTAGCCTGAAATCAAAGGGAAGAGGATCTGTAAGTGTAGTAAGAGCCCCTTCCTTGGCACATCCTGGCTAATTGCCTCTGGTTCTCTCCTGGTGGGGAAGAAGCCAGCTGTTGCTGAAATGCATTCAGGGCAGGGAGATGATAGACAGACAGACAGACAGACAGACAGACAGATCTGGCCTCCTCAGGGCTCCTAGGGTCCAGCAGGTATGTCAGACTCCAGAAACCTTTCACTTACAGGATGAGAGGAAATAAAATACACCCAAAGGAAGTATCCTAGGAAGTATTTATAAGAGGCTGCAAAACAGTTTTAAAATAATTTTCTGGCCATAAAATCAAAAGAAATATTTTGATGCCCTGGCGCAGGATGAATGTATACAAGGGCTTGGGGCACAAGCACTTGAAGTGTAAGGCACTGTGTTTTTGGCAAAAAGACTTAAGTTGTCTTTTTATTTCTTCATGATAGAGATATGGAACAAGTCTGGCCCTGGGAATCTGGATTGCAGTTTTCTTTAAGTATTATGACAGGTGAAGCAACTATAAAAGTCTCAGGTAGCTAAGTGTGGTGGCACACGCCTGTAATCCCAGCACTTGGGAGGCTGAGGCCGGAAGATAGCTGTGAGTTCTAGGTGAGTCTAGGCTATGTAGTGAGTTCAAGGCCAGCCTGAACTACATAGTGAGACTCCATCTCAAAAAAAAAAAGTCTTATGTAATAATTTATGATAGCCTTTTTAGTAAAGAAAGAATTATCACACAATAAAAGGCACGCAAGGGTGTATAATTATCAAAAACAGATGAAAAATTAATGGCATACCATACGTAAAAATCACATATTTGATAGCCAGCCATGATTGCCCTTGCTTGTAATGCCAGACCTCTGGAGGCTGAGGCAAGATGTCCATTGTGAATTTGAGTCCAATCTGGGCTACACAGTGAGTTCAAAGCCAGCCTAGACTACATAGTGAGACCCAGTCTCAAAATACCAAAAGTTAAAGAAAAAGAAAGGAAGGAAAAAATCAATATCAAAGAAGAAAGAAAGGGGTCTAAATGCTGTCACATCAAAATTTAATCATACGGATGAAGATGATTTTACAAGAACAGAAGTAACTTTCCTATGGGAAGAGACAAAATGCTGGACTGGAATTTTTTCTGCCATATGCATCAATTCAGAAGCCAAGGAATGTGAGAATCTGCATATCAGTTATCAATCAATAACTATATACTGCAAACCCATAAATATCGCAAATTCCCCAAAACCTAATAAATAGCCTAATAAATATCCAAAACCCAGTAAATATAGTACTTTCAATACAGTTATATTTTTATGCCTTATTACTTCAACACATACTGTATTTACTGAACCTCTATGATATGTTAAGTCCTGTTCTAGACACTGGGGATTCAGCAGTAAATGGAGCCAAAATTTGTATCATCCTAGAGCTTAAATTTCAAGCAATTTCTTTAAATTTAAATCACAAGCTGAATATATTGTACTGAAAATTAGCTTTGTCATCTGTTTCATGATTCTCTAGAGCAAAAGGAACAACAACATACATGTATATGAAAGATTTATTTCAAGGAATTGGTTCATGCAATTGTGAGGATTAACTGTGAGGAAAACCTGTAAGCCAGGCAAGTCTGAAATTCACAGGGTAGACCAGCAAGCTGGAAACTCAAGCTGATCCTGCAGAATTTCTCCTCCAGACCTTAAGGCCTTTCTGATAAGACATAAGACCCATCCATATTATCCAGTGTAATCTCTTTTTCTTAAAGTCAGCTGAATGTAGATGCTAACAACATCTAGTAATACCGAGATTAGAGTTTGATGAAATAGCGGGCTGCAGCTCCTAATCAAGTTGACACATGAACCATCACACCATCTACTTGATAAACATTCATTAAGGGTTTATCACATGCCAAGTTCTGAGATAAATCTTGCACAATCTCTGCCCTCTAAAGGACAGGTATAAGTCATTTTACTTAAATATTTTAGAATGTGTCTCTGCAAATCTCCAAGAATACCCATTATCTTTGCAGGTTTGGAAGAAGGAACAGTCCTTCCAGGTAATGAAACAAGGAAAACAGAAAACACAAAGACAGACAAGGACCTTGTCCTTGGACAATGGGTAAAATAGAGCAAGGAAAGCAGGAGGCTGGCATTCTTAGAGAAATGGAATGAACAAACTGTGGAGTCAGGAAAATGTGATGTTCATAGGAGCACTGAGTGGTTGGGTTTGCCTGGAAATGTAGAGCGAGTGTTCATCCAAATCTCCTTTATTTAGCCAGACATTACCCAGCACTTATTCAAGTACCCATTCCAAAGGTTTTAGCACATTTACAGATGAAACAGAGAGGTCAAGAGATTCTCCCAGATTCACACAGAAAACTTCCAGGGTGCTACATGCAGAGGTCAATGCTGTTTTCTTTCAGTAGCTACCATAGATGCTGCTGACTCTTCAGAATGAGTTTTGCCATCCCTAAAAAGGGAGAGTGCCTTATCCCTATTGTTTCAGTATAACTATCTTTGAAAAAGTCATGTTATCCTTCCATAAATAGAAGAAATTTATTAAGCCTTAACTTTCAATGAACATATAGCTATTGATTCTCCAGATGAGATGTTCAGTGATTTACATGGCACAGAATTACAGCATCTCTCCTTTTACCACTCAGTCAAGGGTGTGCGTGTGTGTGTGTGTGTGTGTGTGTGTGTGTGTGTGATGATTAAATCATTGTGCTCAGAGAAAATATAGAGAGAAGCCACAAGGCTCACAAGACAGTAAATTCCACCTAGGACCTCTGTTATTGTACAGATTTGTGTTCTGGGCATTCCTTTGCTTACAGCTGTTCTCAGCCATAATATTTCCACGCCCCAAGCTCTGCTTCATTTCAGGGAATAGCTGTCAGTACAGCAAATTGTTAAATAGACATGGTTTGTGCCTTACTTATTTTCCTACCAGCCTCTTTATACTGCATTAAACTCAGTCATCCTTTCCCTAAATAAGACTTCATATCTTTTGCTACTGAACTAACCAGTCTTGGAGTTGTTTTGAAATCTATTGCTTCTACCTGAATTCAAATACTGTGCTTTGCGTTGAGTCTAATGTAACACTTTTTAAAATTAAGATAATTATAGAAATTAGAGGATTTCAGATGCTTTTCAGATAAGTATTTCTTTGGGTTTCCACCACTATGAGCTAAGAAGAAGCAAACTATACCTCTTCTTTTCCCCTACTCCTTCTGCTTTCCACTCTGCTAAAGGGAACCTGAGGACCCAACCAGGAAGTGACATCATGCAGGGCCTGGTTTCATATCCTCATAAAGTACAGTACTTTAATTAAATCTATCAAAGAGGCTAATAAAAGGGAGACTGGGGAGAAATGAGGTTTTTGATCAGAGGTATTACATAAATGGACATCACCAGAGAGGGGACGTTAACAGGTGTGTGGAGCATTCAGGGGCATCAGAGTTCAACTTCCTCAGTGGAGGGCTAAACATCTGTCCTGTGTGGTTCTTCTTTTATTATTTTCCAAATAAGAGAAGTGTATCTAAAGGCTTAGAACCAGATTATCTCACATTTACATTATGCTTTAGATTTATTGTGCACTGTCTCATTTTAATGCTAGTCCTCACAAAGATCCCGTAGGACAGGCAAACCATGGACTGACTCACCAACTGTTGGATCATATTTTGGAAGGCAGAGTTCAACACTCTACATTACATCAGTAGCAACTGGAAAGGAGTGGTTCCAGGAGGATGCTAGCATAGACCTGAGAAGGGCAGTCATGTAGGGATAGATAGGCATGGAGCATCCTGGTAAAGATAAATGTGAATTGCACAAAGTAATGGCCTTTCTAAGCAAATGTCCCCTTTAAGAGTAGATATTAATCTACTATAACAAGATTTAGTTCATCATGTTTCCCTCTGGTTTTAGGACAAGATTTTTATCCCTGTTCAGATACTAGAATCTCTCCTAAAATAGAGTGAACAACCTCAGGGATGATCATCAGGAGCTCAATCCCAGAGTACGAAGACTCCAAAGTCACTTTCAGGTGAGTGGGGCTCTGTGGAGGCCACCTTGGGCTGGGCAGGGATAGGTCACAGACTGAGATGTTTGCGTCTTCAGAGGCTGAGCTGTGACACAAAGTGTGGCAGGGGAAGTTACAGGTGTCTCCTGATCCTTAACAGAGAATGTGTTGTCTTTTGGGGAGAGCACAGCAGATGGCTCCAGAGATGTGGGATCAGCGGGACTCAGCTCTTCCACCAGGATTCTAATGCTGCAATTGCCCTTCTTGGGAGTCTTCATTTGAGTCAACTCAGGCGCTTTCCCACACATAACCACCATGCATACTACGTCAAGCATAAACTCTTGGGGACTCCCACAGAGCTGAGGGATGAATACCAACTCTCTCTGCTTGAAGCTTTCCAAACACTGGTAGCCTTTTGCAATGCATTATTACATAGATGAGACAACTAGTCCATGTAAACTAATAGAGAGCTAGAGTCTAGTTTTCAAAGTTCCACCGGATTACTTCTTCATCCCCTAAGCAACTTTGTCCTTAGTACCTAGTGTCTGCTGAGTGCTTAGAAATCATGCCATTCAATCTTCACAGGCTTCTTAGTAGGCTGTAACATTGTTCCCAGTTTCAGAATACGAAACAGGTTTGAACTGGTCGTGTAACTTGTCCAAGGCCACAGAGTAGTAAGGAGCAAACCTAGACTTTCACCTACATCTGCTGGAATCCCAGGTTCTGGTCTTAGCCACCACAGTATGTGCGCTGCCTTCCAGTCGTATTCTGGAGCCTGTGCTGAATCAGTGGGTAGGGTACTGGGTGGGAAAGGATATGGCTGTTAGGAGGCCTGACACCTCCCAACTGTATGTCATCTGCAGGTCCCTTGGCCTGAAGTTATGGTGGAGGATATGTGAATGCCTGGACTGTTACTACATCTGCTTGCACTCTGGTCTACAGTCTTGGTATTTTTATGTGTCTTGGAAGGCACGTCAAAGGTGGAATGTGAATCGTCTCCTTGGTTGAATATGTGTTGGAACCTTCCGAGTGAACTCTGAAGCTCTTCCAAGGAGGCCAATTTCAGCATTAGAATTCTGGTGGAGGGGCTACTCTCAATTTTCCTCCTTCCCAAAATGGGCACCATTCTTTCCTCCTGCCTGTAAAGTTAGTGTGGAGGGCATGCAAAAAGTTGCAATGTGGATACAAACTATAAAAATTCTACAAGGGTATGAGGAACTGTTACAACTTAATTTTATGTCTTCCTAATATTGCTCAGGAATTAATGAGTCCTGGAGCTAAAGGAAAGAACCCAAGGGAATAAAGGAATCATTTACTCTTTTAACAAATACTGTGCACCGTCATCTGCCAGGAATAATAAAGAACAGGTATTCAGCAGCTTCTAGTGAGCTGCTCTGTGAAGAACTTGGTTTCTTTTTCACATCTAAGAGAGATTACCACTTAGGTCAGTCATTGGGGACCCTTTTCTGAATTGCTTCCTGTGCTATAACTGTGTTGAAAATGAAACAAAGAAAAAAGTGACCTTAATGCTGGCCTCCAAGAAGACTTTGGTCAATTCAGCACCTTTTGCAAGCTGTAAATTCATTCTTCAAATTGTCTACTTGGTTTTTTTCCCCTCTCTGAGAGAAAAAAAAAAATCTAGCCTGTTTAAAATTAAAAATCAGCTTCACAAGGAAATATCACAGCAGAAATGTAATTCAACAAGTATCTGCTGAGTGTTTTATGGGTTTTAGTCCATGCTAAGTATTGAACTGTTGCAAGGGGTAGGAATGTAGATGGTAATGTTGAATACCACGGCCCATAAAACACGGTCTCTACCCCCAAAGCAGTAATAACTACTCCAGGAACTCTGTTAGCAGTCAGTGGAATTTTAGTGGTTGAGACAGGTTAAGACAGAAATGGACAAAAAACAGATGTCAATATAAAAAATGAATGTTTGAATGCTCTCAGGTTTATGTTCTTGGGTTAGGAAAGGTGGACTTTTTGGTAGAAGACTCTGAAAGTGAAACAAAGGAGCTGTAATTTGCTTCTGTGGGCAATTAATGAAGCCATGAAAGGTTTTAGAGCAGAACAGTAACATGATGAAGAAATGAACAATCCAAACCAAGTGTTATCATAAAGACCCTTTTAATTTGAAAGATTTTTATGATCAGGTAAAATTCAAATCAAAGGAAGCTTGAAGAAAAAGAGTTTTAAGTGGAGACATGTATTGGCTCATGCAACTAGAAAGTTTAAGTAGTGGACTTTGGTCATGGTTGTTCAGGTATTCCGATGTCATCAGCTGTCAGACTGACTCCATTCTTAGGCTGTGTCCCATCAGGAGGAAGATATCTTCTGATAGCTCCAGGTTTAAATGTGTTCCAGAGACTATGAACGCAGAGAAAGACCTCTGGACAGGGAGCTCTGACTGGTCCACTTAGGTCATGTACTCATCCTGGAAAACTCACTGTGGCCAGGGAGGTGAAGCCATTTGGTGGGCCAAAACCAGGAGCTATGCGTCTGCTGAGGTAGGAGGGTGATCCTGATCAGGGCTTCCTCCCCTTTCACTAACCATATGAACTAAGTAAGATATTTCCATCATGAGGTGGCATATTTTCTCAATGGAAGACATACTGGGACATCAAACACACACAGGTACTACCTAAGTTTGATGTTAACACATAGCCTAAGACAGACCACCTCTTCTCTTTCATCTGTAACTTGTTCCTTTCAATATTGCTCTTTATTCATTCTTTTACAGATACTCAATGCTGTAAATCATGACTCCTATGTTGATTACCTACCACAGAAGTTTCTGTATAGCTCTACAAGCAATTAGGCTAGGTTTTGAAAAGTTAATTATAAATCCTTTTGCTTCTAAGTGAAATAAGAAAATATAGCAGAAGTGGGTAGCTGAGTGGCAACATCTTTTCATAACATAGGGTTGGTCCTCAGGAGAGATGTCCAGCCAGGGGTTATAGTTCCTGCCTCTACTCTCTGCATATGGAATGGAAAGCATCTGGTCAGTTCTTGCCAGAGGGCTGGGAGAGGAATACTGTGAGCTGCTTCTGGGTGGTCCCATGAAGGGTGAGTGTCCCTTCCTCTCATCTCTTTCTCTGTTAATGGAGATGGGGAGACTCGTACCTTTGCAGGTGGACTGGGACACAAGATAGAGAGTTCTTGACTCCCTGAATAACCATATGAAATGCTGCCCAACCAGCATCACCCACTGAATTCTTACACTACTAAGAAGTAAACCTTCCCTGTGTTGAGCCAATGAAAAGTAGAGTCTCACCTTAATAAATACAAGGGGGAGTGGGAATGAAGCTTATTATCCACACACTCATTTTCATTGCATAAAATTGAGCGGTCTTAAAAACTCTGAAACCAAACATCCACTTCTTCTCTTTAGAGCCATGTCTTTCTTCCAACTTCTTTTTCCAAAACTCACCAACTCACTTTATATATGTGAAATCTATCAAAGCAGGTCACCTCTCTTTAATAGTTACTGTTCCTGTACTCACTCTTTCCTCCCTGAGATCCTTAACCCACAAACTGTGTATGCTTGTGGCAGGTTTCATCAACAGCAGTGATGTTTAAATTTGTTAATAAACTCAAAGTCTTCTAAATGAACACATTGCTGCTAATGTTGTAGTCACGTACAATGTGGGATTCAGGTTCGTCAGTCACTTTTCTTTTGCTCTTGCTGGTTATTGCTGATTGCAGAGGTATAGACAGATCTTTGTACCTGTTCATGAAAAGCTCTTTGTCTTCAGAAATTTTCCTGCAGTTAAATGAATCATACCACTTTGAATTTTAAATATACCCTAGTCTGTTTACATAAGAATCATATGCCTCTTCTTATTAGCACTTTCCATACTTTCCTTGCTTTTGCATTTCCACATATTAATAATCTTTGCAAACCAGCTCAAAAATCTAGCACACATAAAACAAATATGTAGAATACAAAAAATATTCATTTTTGCATTGGTCCCATATGACAGTTAGTATTGATTGTTAACTTGATGGGTTCCAGAGACAAATAGTAAATTAGTAAAGCACACTTCTGCGTGTGTCCAGGTGTGTCTAGAGGATATTTCGAGGGGTGATTAGCATGAGAGCCAGAAAACTGAGTGAGGGAAGACCCACCCTGAACTGGGGTGGCATCATCCCATAGGCAGGGGCTGGGATGGAATAAAAAGGAGGATGGATGAATGGAAAAAGGAGGAAGCCAACTCCCATGCATGCAAGCTTAAGTTTTCTAAAGCAGCTGTGTCTTTTGCTGCTGTCGTCACCTGGAGACATCATACTCTAACTTCTTCAGTCTTTTGATGTGGACTCACACCGGTAACTCTTCAGGGAGCTTCCAGGCTTTCAGCCTTGGACTGGAACTATGTTGTCTGGTCCCTTTTGTTCTGAAGCTTCCAGCTTCTTGGATTGAGCAGCCACTGGTTTATTTGGCCCTTCAGTGAGCAGACAGGCACCATGAAACTATCCAGAACCATGATGTCCCTCCATGCAGCCCCTGAGAGCGTGACGCAAGGAGCTGTGAGAATGAAACCAGACCTATAATGGAGATCTCAGGAAGTTAGAAATGTCAGGAACATGGAATACCTGCCAAGTGAAACTGTACTCCGTGAGCAGAGCCTGCCCAATAGTGTGGGCATGTGGGCTAAAACCAGCAAGGCCATAGTGGTAGGGCTGCCCATACCCTTTTGAGCTTATATTATACACATGTCCCAGATGCAGATGTAGAGCTACAGGACTTAATGTTGGTCTTGCTTTGAGTTTCAGTCTTGCTTTGGTCCCATGCATTCTTTCTATGCCTCCATTCTGCCTTTTTGGAATGGTAATGTTTATCTTGGATGTTCCATCATTGTACACTGGAAGTATACTAAAAACTTTTCAAAAAATTTTCACAGCTGAGAGTTTGCTTTGAGCTTCAGAGGAGATTTGGACTTGGACTTTCTACTTCCTATAAATGTCAGGACTGTGGGGGCTCTTAGAGATGGATTGGAAGGCATTTTGCACTATGAGATAGACTT